GCCTCGGGGGCCCGAGCAGGGCCTGCTCCCGCTTCTCCCCGGCCTGCGGGGCCCTCCTGGGCTCCAGGGGCTCCGGTACGGCGCCGGAGAGAAAAGGCGGCCGCCGCGAACGAGGGAGCGGCCTCGCTTCGGGAGGCTGTGGAGGCCTGCCCGCGGGAGCCGTGACGCTCCTGTCAGGGCTGGGGGCTGGGGGCGCCGGCTGCGGCCCTCCCGGCGCGGGCAGCCCCAGGGTGCGCGGCTGCATCCCATAGTCGTGGCCGTGCCTTTGCCTCTTCGTGGCGGGACGTCTCATGTCACTCTGTAGTTTGACGGGTCGTCTCTCCCGTGGGAAACCGCAGTCTGCCCCGTTGCTGTACCTTAACGATTAGTGATTCGGAACTGAAAAGCTCTGAAAGCTTACTTGCGCTTGAAATCGAAGTAAACGATCAGGAGCTTGAAGTTAGCCTTGCCTTGGTAATAACATACTGTGAAACACACAGCGCATCTCGGTGGCAAAGCTGATTTAAAAATTCTGTGGTACTTAAATTGAAACGCCTGCTTTAGGTTTAGTAATGGCTATGAGTTATTTAACAGATGTTAAGGTAGTGGTGGGAGGCCCTTATCAGGAGAAGGTTTGGGTAACAATGTAATTATTACCATAAATCATTTACAGATAAATTCCTTTTCCACTGCGGAAGCGTATATGTAGTTCTGCAAAGGCAGTAGAAGCGCGCTCTTGCCTCTGAAATTAGACAGCGGTTTGAAGGTTTGGGGCCGGATGATGAGCGATACCTGCAGGAGATAATATAACAATGTACGTTTATGTTAGAAAAATACTCAGAAATGGACTCTGTTAAATACAGAGGCATTTTAGTGGTAGCTGCTGACTGATCTGAAATTGTTTTTTAGAGCATTTCACCTTTCATCTGAATAGAATTGTGTGTTATATTTGCTTCTCACCTCGCAGTCTGCTAATAATTGTCTCCCTTTTCAGACAAAAGTAATCCAAAATTAAGGGCCTGAAAATTCAGGCACTGCCTAGTAAGATCTCACTTTTCCTATCTCTAAAGTGATTAAAAACTACCCTTGCTTTTGACCAGGAGTGCCAAACAACATGATGATCATACACCACTGATTCATAGGATTGCAGAGGCAGGAAGACTATCTGTATTGTGGACAAAATATCCCATAATTCTTCCTGGTGAAAATTCTAAATGTAATCAATGAAGAACTAGCACTGTCAGTTTATCTAGATGTGACACTGTCATTCATACTGTTGTTCATACAATGTTAACATGAGTGAAAGGTTGAACTCCGGTATTTATGAAAAACACAAAGAAGAATAAAGGAAAAGTTTCCTAAGCTCTTAACTAGGGTACTCATCACAAGTTTAATTAATTGTTTTCAAAACTACCTGAAATACTCTAGTTTCTCTCTCTTCTTCAGTAGCGTACTGATTCTCCAAAGTTTGCTCTATGTCTAGCATGTCACTGGAGAGAGTTTCATGATTTTTAACAATATTTGGGTGTGCACAGACAATTGCAAGAGACCAGTTTAGAGTTGCTACATCCCCTTAGTAGAGTTACACTAGTTACGGTGCAGAGTAAAATTATCTTCATTGGCATTTGGAGTGTATTCTTTCCATGACGACAAGCCTGTTTTACTGTGCATTGCACTGAACTATGAGTAGAGGTCTGGTTGCTCCATCTTAGCTGAGAAGGTCTTTTTAATTGCTCAGTCATGATTGTTTCCAGTTGTTGAGTTACACTCTTGTCTGCCAGTACTTGAGTTCTGGTAGATTTAAGTGTGGTGTTTTACCAGCTTACTGACTCTAGCGATCCATCTTGCATTTTTGACTGAAACTACTGATTCCCCATTTCCTTTTTATAGAGATGAGTGAACGTATGCCAGATCGTTAGCTGTCGCAGTTTGTGATCTATCATAGTAGCTTAAGTTGGATTTATGCTAGAAGGTTGGACTGTAAACAGGAATATTTCTGGCACAGGAATTTTTTTACTAGAGTAACCACTTGCAGCATAGTGACTAGGTGGACATCTGGGCATAACAACTCTCAAAACCAATATGACTGGTGATGAAAAGTTCTTTAAGCCCCAAGCGACAGTCAGTGTCTTTCATAAAACAATTTCAAAGGGCTGAAATGACTTATGGTCCTGTGAGTTGCTTCAGAATAGGCTGTGGACTTGTAAATATACAAAGTTACCAAATCACAGAATTTATAAACCTGCTTGTCACAGTTCTTATAGGTAGAAGGATGTGAAACACTGAGAAAACGAATTCTGTTGTACTAGAAACATACTTGGATGCGGGAGGGGTTTATTCTTTACTTATATTTAAAAATAATATCTATAAGTTTAAAATATCACTGGCCTCTAAATTATTCTAAATCAGAAGCTCTCCTGGTTTTGTCCATTGAACCACCTGGACAGGAGTCACACACTAGGATATGAAGGCACACATCAGCTGATTCTTTTTGAAAAAGGAGGCTTATTAGGAAATTTGTTGTGGTTTAACCCCAGCCAGCAATTGAGCACCACACAGCTGCTTGCTCACTTCCCTCCCACCCAGTGGGATGGGGGAGAGAATCGGGGAAAAAAAGTAAAACTTGTGGGTTGAGATAAAGACAGTTTAATAGGACAGAAAGGAAGAAAATAATAATGATGATGATGATAATAATAATAATAGTAATAATAATATGACAATAATAATAATAAAGGAATTGGAATATACAAAACAAGTGATGCACGATGCAATTGTTCACCACTTGCCAACTGATGCCTACTTAGTTCCCAAGCAGTGATCTGCCCTGCCCTGGTAACTCTCCCCAGTTTATATACTAGACTTGATGTCACATGGTATGGAATATCTCTTTGGCCAGTTTGGGTCAGCTGTCCTGGCTGTGTCCCCTCCCAACTTCTTGTGCCCTTCCAGCCTTCTTGCTGGCTGGGCATGAGAAGCTGAAAAATCCTTGACTTAGTCTAAGCACTACGTAGCAACAACTGAAAACATCAGTGTGTTATCAACATCATTCTCATACTAAATCCAAAACATAACACTATACCTGCTACTAGAAGGAAAATTAACTCTATCCCATCCGAAACCAGAACAAAATTGCAGTAGGATTCCTATTTTGTTTCATTACGATGACTAACATCTATGCCTTTTTTACCCTGTCAGTGGACTGTAATGTAGTGTATAGTAGATGTTACTCCAGAAACTTTTGAAAGAAATACGTACTTCAGGTGATCACATATGCACAATGGCTTAATTCTTAAAGTAAAGTTTTATTCTTACTAAATTCTAAAAACATTCTTGATGTTGTAACGTGTTCAAAACTAGTGTTTCCTAAAACATTACTTTTCCTACATTCTATGTAGTTTAAGTACTTGTGTGAAAATGATCTAAAATACATTTTATATCTAGTCAGACCATCTCCTTTGGTATGTAATTTGGAATCTAACACTGGATTTAACAAGGCTATTCTTTGACTAAAGAAGGAAAGCTCAGGCTTATAGTTCTTTACATACAAAATTGTGATAATACTGGGGTTTAAAATTAATGTAGAACAACTTTGTATCCACTGCTTTGCCTTCAGAGTGATGGAGGCATTCTTGTGTTTAGTTCTCATTGTTCCCTCATAACACTGTGCAGTGGATTCAGGAAACAAGTGCGTATGCATTCTGTGTTCTTGTCCATAACATTTGATGCTATTAGAAGTTGGATATCTTTAGACCATATGTTAAAGGTCACTTTAGTCATCTGCCTGAGGTCTCTTTTTCTTTCTTTTTTTTTTTAAAAGAAAAAAGGAAGGATCAAGATGTAGATGTACAAATATGCCTATGACCTGGGAATTCTGTGTCTCAGAGTACCTGTAGGTCCTCTTGATTTTAAACAAGAGTTTTATCTGTATCTAGAATTTGGGGCATCACTTACAGGTTGTTTGGTTGGAGAACAACCTACTTGGCTTTGGGAAATGAAAGTGCTCATTACTTCAAGATCTTGAGAAGATCTTTAGTGTAACAAAACGGCAACGATGGGTGTGAAAGTATGTAGTTCATTAGTGATTATTAACAATCAGCTTTGTATTAGAAAGTGAAAGTTTATTTTTAGCTTATAGAAGATACATAGTTCCTTTAAATAAGACTTCAGATTCACTATATGTGTTTCTCTTTATTGCTTTGGGAATTAAATATTGCAATTCCTTGGCAAAGAGAATAGACTATGGCAATTGTTATTTTGATCTGAATGCACGTAAAGGGAAATAGTGCGATTTGGAAATGGGTTTGATAGTGGTGCTGTGTAGTCTAGAGTTTGTTTAACCTCCAGATTTTTTAAAGATTTATTTTTTTAAAGACAAGATTTTTTAAAGATTTATTTTTTAAAAGACTTATTTTTAATATAAAGCCTCCTCTGGATTAGCAGCAAATAAAAATTTCAAGAATGTGGCATGGTGCAGTATCAAGACCTTGGTCGTACAGGCATAGATAGCCTTGCAAATCTCAGAATAAAATACATGAACTTACAGAGACTGCCATCCTGGGTGCAGGTTTCTTCCTACTGGTGGTTATATCGTCTGTTAAAAGATTTGAGTGATAAACATGAACAGTGTGTTTTTGTACAATAGTTAATTGAATTGAGAATCGACTAAAATTAAAGATCAAATTAATACAATGACAGTGTGATGAGGTAGTAAGGAATTCTTAATTTTGAATATACTCTACAAATACCAGCTTACTTTGAAAATGACAGCTCCTTGAATTATAATTAATGTCAAACCTCTCCAATGTCCTCATATAAAAAGGGGTCTGTATGAGATTGAGCATAATTGTTGTCCTGTAGAAGTCTTGTATACTTCTGTGATGTTAATACAACATAACAACATAATTTTTTGTTGTGCTTGTTTTGCTCTCTTGAAGCTTAACCTTGGAGACGATATCGTGAAAGTTGTAATTGATTGGAGCAAGCTTCAAAGCACATCAGCACTTCAGCCAACATTGCTCTTTAGTGCACTTCAGCAGCATATTTTATGTTTGCAGGTAAATATTTCATTGGACACATTCGACTTGACAAAAGTGATCAGTGTGGTTATATTACCTAAACTGTAAAATTTCAGTCATTTTGTTCTTATATTGCTATGTCCAACAAAAAAGAATGCAGAAGTATTATACGCTTGGGGTTCCACTATGCTTCATAGGTACTCACACTTAGGGATTTTTCAGATTCGTGGTGGGAATAGCCACTGTAGGTGAGCAGGCTGAATAAATGCAGCCTCATTGATTTCTAGACTTGCATTGTAAATGTGATACATTTCCATCTATGGTGGGTTATAATTAAGCAATAAGACACGGCAGGTGTGTGTCATGCTATGATAATGATTCCATGCGTTGGGTGAGTTTTGAGGCTCATGGAGTGCTTTCAGTGGTTCAAGAAGTGGCATTATCCCAGCATGACACATCCTGGAGTGTCTTACTGCAATTAAATATATTTTCAGCGTAGGTGTTTTTTTTTTTTTTAAAGAGTAATTTCTTTGACATTAATGTCTCATCTTGCCAAGTAGCCAGTCACCATTACTGTCATTTCTTTTAACTATTTGAAACTTTCCAACCCTGCCAAAAGTACGTGTAATTTAGTTGCATGGCAGGGTGAGCAGTTTGTCAGCTGGTAACTGAACAGTGCTTTGACCTTGATAGTTCATCTGTAAAAGGTGGGGATTTGAATACCATTATTTTGCTTCAGCTAGTCAATGAATTATTTCAAGTGTGTAGTACTGAGAGGGTGAAAAAGGAAGTTCTTGTATTTGCTTGTCTGTAGGTAAAAGAAAGACCTTTAATATTTTCCAGACATCCACCAAATCTTTGGTGTGATAAACAAAAAGAGAAAATATGCAAGATAAAAGCAAGTAAAATCCAGCTGTAAGAACACAGCAAGTAGGAATTTGATTCCATTTCAGGAAATGTGACTGGTAAAAATCATGTTGTCTTTAAAAAAAAAAAAATTCTAGAGGGAAAATAACCAGTGAAATTCAGACTAGATGAAACTGGTAAAAATTATAAAAAGGGGGTGTGACATATATATGTACTGAGGTTTCGTGATTACATCTTGTGTGAGTTATTGCAGTAGAATAAGCATTCATTTTTGCTGCTACAAATGTCAGTGCATTCTCTCATTTAATTTCATGACCTAAGTAGATAATCAACCTTGTCACAAAAAGCATGTGTTCAGGATAACGCCTATATATTTCATGTCTGTATTCTCTCATTCACTTGGGCAACTGCAGTTTCAAGTGGAGAATGTAGTGCTGTGGTGATAAAGTAGAGGCTTTACAGCGTGAAAGCATTGGCTTTCATGTTAAGGAGGAAAAATACTAAGCCTTACTGTTCTGAGTAGGCATTTGAATGACATGTTAATTAAGTGGCATTGGTGCTAATGATTGAAGCTTTGATTTAGCTAGTAACAGACAAGTAACAGGCAGACTTTTGCAGAAATTTGGGAGTTTTCCTGTACAAACTTCTAAAAGGCACGGGTCAAAAAAGCCAGAATCATGGCGTGCACAGTATTTGGAACTATAGCTTTTTTAAAATTTTTTTTAATTTTTATTTTATTACTGAGTTCTATCAGAGGCAGATGGAATTTCTAAAATTATTTGTTAGTCTGTTTTAGAAATTGGAATAGAACTTTTTGCTTTTTGTTTTGGTTTTTTTTTTTTTGCTTTTTTTTTAACCCTAACGTACTGTGTTCTTTGTTCAGCCTCTTTTAGAGAAACTCCAGTCATTGATTAAGGAGGAAACTATAGGCCATGTTGAACCTGCAGGTAAAACAGAAGGCCAAGCTTGTGAAAAAAGTGTAGATGTTTATGATGGTAACTGTCAGACAGAAGAAAAGTATGCAAGTTATGACTTGGGAGATCTGAAGGATGCTCATATTAATTTTGATCCAGAGGTGGTCCAAATAAAAGCTGGAAAAGCAGAAGTAAGTGATTTACCTACATTTAAAAAAAAACACAAAAAGACCTTTCTAAATTTTATATTTAAACAATGAAATAGATACATGCCATCATGTTTATTACCTGCAGATTGACAGGCGGATATCAGCCTTCATCGAGAGGAAACAAGCTGAGATCAATGAAAATAATGTCAGGGAATTTTGCAATGTTATTGATTGTAATCAAGGTAACTGGCTAGCCAGACTTTAATCTTCATAGCAATTTAAGTTGTTTATTTTTTTATTTTTCAAAAGCACTATTCTATATTTAAAACAGAACTTTTAAGAGTAACTGTTTTAAAGTTAAGAACTTGCATGTGCACTGCAGATGTTGTCAGATAGACAAAAAAAGAAAGTAGTCACTGGATGACAATGTTTAATGCATCCTTTACAGAAAGATTATAGCTATTACTGTGTTCATTTTAAGAACTGCGATCTTAAATCAGATGATTTTGTAGCTGTTGTTCCCAATGTTTTAGCTAGATGTTCCTTCTAAAGTCAACAGAATTGCAATTCAGAAATGTCTTGTGAATTGTGTGTTCAAACTGAAGTTAATTTAATGCTAGTTAAATTACCAAAGTATTTTTTGCAATCAATTTGAATTACTAGCTACTTAGAATAACTTTTTCCTTTCAACATTACTCAAGCTATTGGTGTTTTTAATGTACCAATTGTCACAATTGGCTGTATCTATAACCAGTCTTAAATCCATCTGGGAGGCAGGATCCCATTAGCATGATTAGTAACTGTGTAACCAAATGTGCCTTAAAAGTGAACACACTTTTATATACAGAAGTAGTACAGAGATGTTTTCTAAGTACCTGTGAACCCAGATGTGCATTGTCTCTGTGATGTACTTAAGCTTTTAGAGATCAAAGCTTATGGTTCCATAAGCTTTATAGGAAGAGAGTTTAACTCCTTGAATATTAGTTGGAATGAAAATGACATCTGATATCTAGTAGAATATGCTAGATAGTAAAATACTGATTCCTAAAATTGTTAATTATGTACAGAAGAAATATAAGACCTTCCTTTTTATGTTCAGGCATAATAAAATATGTGTAAAGCTTTGGTGTATATGAACAGAGATTAAAATATAAACTTTAGAATAAACTGAGATGATCTGTACTGTAGGTTTTTATGATTAAACAAATTAAAGAAGTCACAGGCATCAGAATAAATGCAGGAAGGTGACAAAAGAATGCTGATGAGTAAACTAGACCAGTCTAAAAATAGGAGAACAGTTTCAAAAAAGGACATAAAACCAGAATAACAGTGGTAAGCAGGTAAAAGACTTCTGTGCAGAAAGAAAGAAATAAGTTACAGAGGAGTGCAGTGAAAAGGAAGAACCAAATAAAATGTAAATTGGAAGAAATTTGGTCCTGATCCAATAAACTTTTATATACAAGTGTGCATACATTTATGTAAGTGACTTATCCAGTTAAAACCAGTAGGTCCATGCAAGTGTGTGAAACTATTAATGAGCAAGTGTTTATAGAATGAATGAAGTATTTCTGATGTTTTTATTGTATGAAGAATTTTAGATTTGTTAAAAGCCTCAAAACTGATGATGGTTAGAATATTTTAAATTACAAATATGTAATTAGGATCTCACTTTTTATATTATTATTATTTATTTAGAAAATAGCTGTGCCAGAACAGATGCCATTTTCACACCCTATCCTGGATTTAAAAGCCATATAAAGGGTAAGCAACTATTTTAACACCCATTTAGTAAGAGTGTCCAGATAGAATGGCACTGATGAATTTTTTACTTTAAAATGTTTTATAGATTGCTCAAAAAATTCAAACTTAACCTATTGATTTTTGACTCTAGTGAGTACTTTTACATCTTCGTTTACTTCTCCAAGGTTTTCAGTCCCATAACTGCTTCATTAAGCTGATGGTTATGCACTAAGTCCAAAACAAAGTAGCCTATTTTCATTGTCTGAAAGGAAAGATGCAAAAGATAAAGCAGGACAGAGAAGCCGAACAGTTCTTAGCTTTTCTTGTAAGTCGAAGCTAGCAGTCCAGTTAAGGAGTTGAGATTAAATAAAATTATATTCTATTTTTCTTAGTCGGTGTAAGTATATTGAATTAGAAAATAGTGTTGGGACACAGTGGAAGTTCTGAGACATAGGTTTATGGGAAGTGGCAAGCTGGGGAACAAGCTTACCACTGCACTACCTTTTGGGCAAGGAGTAAATAGTGTAGAAATGATTGTCCAACAGAAGTTATGGATAAAAGATTGCTTGTCCATCTACTGCTCTCTAGGTGTATGCAAGTTACGCTGTGTTTAAAAACAAACAAACAAAATCTCCAAAATGAGAATGAAAGTAACCCTCTCTTCCATTTTCGAGAGTGGTAGTATTCAGTTATCCACTTGATACAGGTTCTAGAAAGCAATTCATTATCCTGAATACTGCGAAGCACGATGATAGGTATAAGCGTTAAAAGGTCTGGTGAACTAAGGGAGATGGGGAGGTGGGTATGAGTTCAGAATCTTTCACTAAGAACCCCTTTCAGTCGTCACTTTTTTAAACTGAGTGCTAGTTTGTAACTTGAATGGTAGCGTATTACAGGAAAAAAGAAAAGTTTGTACTTCCAGTAAGTAAAACCCAAACAGTTCATAACTGAAACATGAATAACACTTAGAAAGGACTTGGAAGTAAAACCAGCATAAACTGAAGCAGGAATGTAACATGTGACCTTCATGAAGTGCTGAGTAAGAAGGTGTGTGCTTCAGTGTCTAGAGTTGCCAACATAGTCTTTAAGTCTGTAGTACACTGCAGTATTCCTGTCAGGAAGGACTTGAGAAATGACCGTGATTTCAAGAGAAGTGACCAAAATCTTCCGATGAAGACATGGTTCAGCAGGGGGAAAAAACAGACCCAGAAGCAGCTGAAGAGTCATTAAAGCTGTTACCCGAATAACAAAAATTAGAAGAGAACTTCCTTGCTGAGATTTGTAGCGGTTCTTCTAGTTGTTTACCTCCCCTCATCTTCATGTATTTATGATGCTTCCTGTAATATTAGGTCTGGCCTCTTCTTTGCATTCACAACAGCTCACATGTGCAACTGCTGACATAGATATCGGGTTTTCTGCTATTTATCAGCAGCTGATGACAAATTCTTGATACTGCCATTCTACATGAATGTATGAGTAATTCTTTTACTTTGCATATGTAAAGTCCTAGGTTTTTGTTTAGTTTAGTTACTCATGCAAAAATAGGAAAATACTTTTACTTGAACCTTTGATCTTAATGTGTGTGGGACCCTTCACATGAGAGACTGATGTGAAATTGATTTAACATAGGTTTTCATATTTTAATATTTTGATTGCTTTAGTTAGATGTGCTTTGTGTTTCATGTGCATATATGTTAAATTTGTGTTCTCTTTACTTAGTTTCCAGGGTAGTAAATACATATGGACCTCAGACTAGATCTGAAGGAGCACACGGGTCCAGTCACAAAGCCAATGTACCCATTCATGATTGTGGAAACCAAGCTGTTGAAGAGAGATTGCAAAACATTGAAGCACACTTACGGTTACAGACAGGTTTGTATAATGTTTTTATTTTGACATCAGTGTGCCAGTTTGTACTACAGTTATCATTACTGTAGTAAACCTAAGTCTATAAAACCTGTGACTGTAAAAACAGTGGATAGATCCACTGAAGGGTTTAGTCACCACAAGTACTGCAATCTAATGTTTAGGCTCTTATGCCCAAAATGGAACCCAGATTTATGCCCAAATTAGGGTGCTGAGTTAGTAAATCTACACTTGATGTGGTGGCAAATGAGAGAGGAGCACTTCAGAATGGGATTTAAAACAATCTGGAATGTTTGGACGTAGGATTTCTCCATAGTCAGTGGAGTCCTTCTGCCTTGACCCACTGAATGGGAAAAGCTGAGGTTAGGACTCAGTCCTGCTTCATGGACACCCTGTGGGCTGGGGATAGGATGAACCCAAAACACAAGCTGAAACCTTTTCCTAAAGGTGGATGATTCTTGAAATACAGTTATGTGAGAAGCTTATTTCCCAGAATGTGGGAAGCTTGTTGTCAGTACTTCCCTTTAGCCATGCAAACATGAGTCCACACCTCTCACTAAAATAAATGCCATAGCCACCAGGCTACTGACTTTAAGTAGTTTCTTTCCTCACCCCAGCACCAGTTTTCTAGAATATAACTCAATGAGGCACTTATCAAGGAGGAATCTGTATTTTTCATGAAAAATGTTTTCAAAACAGAACAGAAGCTGAGATCTTCACCTAAGAAAGTGAATGTTCTACACATCATACTGCAGACACACACTTTACTTTTTTTGTTTTCTGAATACTGAATAGATGCCAATACTTTCTCTAAGAATATGGTGAACACTGACTAGATTACTAGATTCCTGTGAATGCATACTGGATCCTCTCGTGGCAGGGAGAGTAGAATACTCCTAGATACTGTTGAGACGGCAGTCAGGGCTTGATGCTTAGCTGTATAGGTGTCTCAAAAATAAGGTGCTTTTTGTGCACGCAAATAGAATTTGCAAGTGGCTGGCTAGCATTAAGGTTACAACATGTAGTAGCTTTGGAGTTTATGCATATCAGGGATAATGATTGGGGGTAGCTAAGGAGGGGTCCTTGCTTCCAGATTGTGCCTGTAATAGGTAACGTAATTTTGTTTGAAGGAGCAGGTCAGCTAAACTATAGTATAGGGGAAAAGGATGAAAGTGTGCAATTCCAGCTCAGCTCCTGTCCAAATCAGCATTCCTGGTGAAGGTCTCAAGATCATTTGTTACTTACCCCAGCAGCTGTGCAAAAAGTATTCATCTGAGCAGGTAACCTGCCTCAGCTACCTGCTCACCAGTTTTTGTTTCTGAAGAATGAAAGAATTGTTCTTGACTCACCTGCTGTTTTTCAGAACAGCTTCTTCTAGTGCTAGCACTGCTCTTTTCCCTTTACATTAAGAGACAGCAATATTAAGAAGAGTGAGAGGTTAGCTGATTTAATTAGTAGCTGCTGAGTGATGTTAGAGAGCAGAACTGAAGGAGGGAAGCTACCTGCAGAATTGTCTGTCTGAAGTGAGGAAATAGATGAATGGCAAGAAACCCATTAGTGCTTATTTCAGTAGTTTGTGGAATAGAATTGTCTTACCTAATAGACATAGAAATAAATGGAAATGGGTGGCAAGAGAAAGAGTAAAAGCTTGCTAAGGCTTTGGTTGTCACTACTGTTCAGACCCAGACTATCATTTTAATTGAGATAGCCAGTAGTTAGTTGTGATAAACAGTGATTTCAGGTTATAGAATACTATGTAGCATAAATAAGATGCTTTCTAAGGCTGATCTTCTGATCAGTTCTGTTCTTACATGGGGAAACAAGCTCAAGCTGCTATGGTACAGCTGCAAAATGGGTTGATGGGGGGTTTTTCATTGCTGTTGTGTTTGTGGGTTTTGTTCTCTTTTGTTTGGGTTTTTGGGGGAGTTTGAGGTTTTGTTTGTTTGTTTTCCAAAGCTCTGTTACTCCTCCATTCCACATACACATTCCCCACCCCTGCTTCTCCCATCTATGGCCAGGCAAACGCTGTTAATTGTCAAGCACAACTCATACCTGTCCTCTAACCTCTGATGCTCAGTGGAGATAGGTTTCCTTCAGAACAAGCTTAGGTATCAATGCTGAATTCATGTCTGGTCTGCCATCCCATCTGCTCCCTCCTGATGCTGCTGTCACTTTTGAAGTGGTAACATTTGGTGTGTGACAAAGGTATTGTAAGAGTGATCATTAGTGGTTCCAGGGACCTTGTCAGACATATTTCATCCACCTGCATAAAGTTGTCTATTGTCTTCACTGACTGCCCTGGCTTATCAGTCAGGTTTTACTCTGAATCATATTAATTACCCTTCCTTTTTATTATCCCATCCGCTCATTTTGTTTCAGCTGCTGGTTGATAGCTGGACTTGAAGAATTTACCTGTAAAACTTGCAATCTTTAGTTTAAAAAGTTACTCAAGTGCTTTTCCTGATTTCTTTGTATTTGTACTGGTGTATTTAGGTGGTCCTGTACCAAGAGACATTTATCAGAGAATTAAGAAGCTTGAAGATAAAATCCTTGAGCTGGAAGGACTATCTCCTGAATATTTTCAATCTGTAGTAAGAAATTCTCTCAACTTCTTTCAGCTTACCTAAATGCATTCAGTACTTTTGTGCTCAAATCTTTGATGTACAGACAAAAACCTAAGGAGTCAGAGGGCAGACTCTTTTGATAGACAACTCTGGCTTGGTGTAATGGTTATATTTCATGTGGACTATCTATGTAAGTTCATATTTCTACCTAATTTCTCATTTGAAAGAAAATAGTATTTGTGGGGGGGGGGGGGGAATGCAGCCACCTGAGCTTAACTAATTTGTAAGAAATGTATTATAGAGGTTGGATTCTGCCTGCCCCCCCCAAAAAATCCAAGTGTTTCTTATGACAAGAAAATTGACTAAAGTTTTGATCTCGATAAAAATCATTAATGGCTTAAATCAGCTGAAATCCTTTGGGCTTCTGTACATGATCTGATTACTAAAGATCAGCTATGTGAAATAACTTCCAATAGGATGAGAGAGTAAACCCTTTAAAAATTGTTTGGTGTGATTCTGTGGCTTTGGTTTCTTTGTTGGTAGTCTTCAGGCAGAGTTCTGTCTTTCTGAATAGTAAACCTTGTGCTTCATTCACCAAAGGAAGTTAGGACAAAGAGAACATTAGTTGTTGCTGCATCAGGCTCTGCTTGTCTGTAGAAATTTCTTGTCTGTTATGTTGCTCTTCTTTCCCCATGTAACAGTAAGAATGTCTCTTTTACTGTTGATCATATTTTAATTTGTATCTTCTCCCGTGAGACCAGCCAAAGAAGAGTCAGCAATTAAAAATCAATAGCAAAATTATAAATTTTTGTTTCATTTTTTTGTGTTGGAGACCAATATTTTTTGTGAAGCTATTCCTTCTAGTTGTTGGAAAACAGAAGTTAAAACATACATTTTCATAAGCTGAAATTTCCATGGAAAGTGCTTTAGGATTTTCTCTAGAATGGGGATCTGGGGAAAAATTTGTGATGGTGGCAATAGTAGTGTTGTGCAGTAATTAGCATTTTCTTGTCCAGAGTTTTGCATAAATATTAGTGTGGATACATGAAAATTTTAGGGAGAAAAATATTGACAGCTTCAGAAGCAGGATATTGATCTTGGTTTTGTCTGAAGGAAGCTTTAGTTAAGCTGATAGTTGTTGGCTGCCAAGCGTGGAGAAGCTTCAACAGCTTCTGACTGCTCTCCAGTAGTATTTCTCATGATCCAAAGTACTTAATTATAAAAAAGATTTCTTTAATCCATGGAACGGCAGTCAGTGTTCTTTCTGTACTTTAAAGACTCTTGTCAATGTTGTTACATTGGTCCTCTGTCAGTGCAACATTAAGTCTGTTTTGATTATGTCTTTTCTTTAGAGCTGTTCTGGCAAGAGGAGAAAGGTTCAACCTCCCCACGTAAGTGCTATTAAATTTGTTTACCTTAAGTTTAGGATGTTCTGAGTGAAAAGTAATCAGAAGTTCAACCAAGTAAATATCTGACTTCTCAGAAACAGCTGCATCAGTATTGGATAGCTTGCTGGCAAAGAAAGAGAGGGAAGAAGACAGAAAGTTAATGGGTGTCACAATGAAATGAGTCTTCTAAGAGTCTGTACTAGGGTAGGTTAGTTAGTGTTTTCACCAGTTAGAAGGATGATAGAATAAAATGAATCTGTAATGTTATCAAGCTGGGGGTAACAAGCAATTTGTGAATTCTGATCAGCCTCCTAGTAATGTCTTCTGGTTTTGTTTTGTGGCTTGGTTTTTTTTTTTTATTTTAATTTTTTTTTTATTGGCTTTATCAGTTTATGAAGAGATAATAAAAGTAGAAATGGCTGGCTTGGCAAAAGTGTTGCAGAAAGACCTGATATTATAGCTGATGTTATCCTAAGTCAGTTAGACTTGCTGTTTTTATGACACTATCACATAAGGGAAAGCATTAACTGTGTACCTTAGGACACAAGAGAGAATTTCTCCTCAGTGCAAGTGAGACCGTAGCTGGCACACTGTCTGCTACTGTCCAGCACACTTGGAGACAGATGGACTGGAGAGAATGCTTAGAATGGGCTGTGGGCCATCTGAGACTGGAGGAAGTAGGCTTATTTACACAAGAAAAAAATCCTCCATATGGTGAAATATTTTTATGAAAAGGATGATGACCGGTTCTTTGTGTCAGAAGAGAGAAAAAAAATTGTCAGGTTAAGTGGGCACAGAGGAGATTGATGTTGGGCAATAGGAAAAAAACCCTTCAGTTGTAAAGCTGGGTTCTACAAGATGTAGATAGTTTTGTCCGGTGTTTTAACATCAAAGGATTTTCAGTTCTTTATGATGAACAGGTTAAACAAGCATCTAATGGAAATGGCATGGATATATTGATCCATGATTAGGACTGTCAGTTTCTTCTAAGTTTACATTCCTTCTCTTTGAAGTTTCAATAGCCATAGACTAGGTTCAGACAATTCTGCAGAAGTATTTCTATCATTTAGTGTAATATGCAGTGACCTCAAGTATCAAGTGCTAGGCCACTTCTCTAGTAATTACAAGATGTAAATGATTGTGGTTTTTATTTTGTTCTTTTAGCAGAACTATTCATTGGCTGAACTTGATGAAAAGATCAATGCTATAAAACAGGCATTACTGAGGAAAACAAAAGAAAGCAAGTCCAAGGAGGCTGAGCGGCTTCTTCGATAAAGTCTTTTCAGAATCCTCATCGTGCTTTACACGTACCTAAACCATAGACCTGACTAGTGTTCATTGGGGATGACTTTAGCAATGAAAGCAAAGCATGCATATAAGCTCCTTTTGGATGATCTTGAAAGCTTTCTTTCAGAAGAACTAATTGAAAAACAGTCTTATTAATGAAATAGTTACTTTAAAATGAAGAATGTTTTAGAAATAGCATTCTAATAATCCATTCCCTTCTGTTATAAAGGAGGATTGCAGCATTGTTTGTATGTGGAAAGTCTTAACCTGCATACAAAAGCTACATTTCACATGTGATTCTTGGTGATTGAGTATTCAAAAGGGCTATCTTTTGAATACTTTTCATGTAAGTAGTTTGCATAGACTTGTGAAATAAAATTAAATACTTCCTCGTAAGTAAACTGTCTTAGGAAAAAAAAATTACAAAAAACCTTGCAGTATGCATGCTTACCTGCATTTTTTTCCATATTTGTCACTGTTTTCACAGCTGTTAGAAATGCAGCAAATTGTGTTTCTGTTTGAAAGATGGCTATGGAAATCCTATATGTGTAAATAGACAAACCTGTTCTTCACTTCCTCAGTGTCCTGTAGGAATTCAAACTTCTTACCCTGCTAACAAACTTAATATATCCTAAAGACCACGCCAGGGGAGGTTTTGAGGAGCATGCCAGCAGGCAACAGCTTCCCTTCCTTCCATATGCATGCTTACATGACTTCTGAAGCATGGATGCTGGGTACGTAGTTTAAATTGAAGTCAGACCTTTGGCCACACACTGAAGTGTGATTTTGGTTTTTGTTTTTAAATAAACCATTTTCTATTTATACCAGTTCTTTGTTTGCTGTCTCTGTCTTTATTCCAGTTTAGAAGAAAAATAGCTGTTACACTTTTATGTTAACTGCTGTGTTTACATCAGTCATGTTATCGATGTCCCTGTATCAGTCTCTGTGACAGGTGTTATAAACAGTACTGACTGGACACAGTCTTGCACTTTGAAGAATAGTAGGCATTTTCTGTGATTCCGTGTTCTTATCTAGACTGATGTTTGTTGTAGCAGCTGCACCTAATGCTTCTCTGAAGGTGAACCAGCAGAGGTGGGAGACAAAGCTGCTTGAGCTCTGGTCCTAGCTCCAGGAAAGAAGACAGCATGATAGTTACTTGTTCAGATGCTTAATACCCACCCAGGAAGAGATAAACCCAAGCAGTCATGAGTGCCTCAAATACAACATTGGATACAAAGAGGTACTTTTGCAGTTGAAGGCTCTGACCTGCCTATGTGTAGCACTTTTACTCAGATTGTATGTCACATTATCAGTACCGTATCCTACAGTGACTACTTCTGTTATGCAAAGCATTGCCATTGTTGAAAATACTAACAGCTCATATTATGAGGGGTCTTTTGATGAAGCAGCACAGTGAACTGCAACTTTTACCTCCAGTAGATAAGCTTTACTTGCTGTCTGCAAACTCTTTTTTTTGTACTGGGTCCCAAGAGTCATAGCTCAAAAGAGTACGGTGTGGATATAATTGTGCCTAGCACCACACACTTCACACAGTAGTACTTGGAAGAGTGGTGTGAGATGGCTGTTGCGACTGGGGACAGGAAGGATGACCACAGGGATTTAGCTTTTACAAAGCAGTAGCCTCTACTCATGTGCATCATAACTCAAGTACTGGTGGGACATGCTGGCTAAGTCTATTGCATTTACACTATGCAATTTTCTCTGGAAAATTCTGGAATGAAGCCCTAGAAGAGATTACCTGGGTATGAAAGATTTGTTTAATATTAAATTATTTGTTGTTAGTTTACATTAAAACAAGTGCATATATATATATACAGAAAAAAAAATACTTCAATCCTCATCTGGGGTTAGTTCTTGGAATAGATTACAAGCTGCTTTCTTCAAGGGAGGCTGGTTACAAAAAGGCTGCATTAGCAGTTTCAAAGTGGCTTTTTCTGCAGTGAATTGCCTGCTACTTGAAAGATGTCTTGCCATGGGATTCTCCTTTTCCTCTTTCTCAAGATGGCAGCAACACAGCAGTTAAGAGTTGAAAGCATAATGAAGATGCATTGTAGCAAGACAATAGCTAAGGAGACAACAGCAGAAGTACTCTGGATGGTAATTTATTAGCCCTATATACTTTATCAAATAAATGCTACAGAGACACTTGAAAAACGTCAAGGTATTCATCTTGCTTTGTTATTAGACCTTTGCCGTTCTTTGATTTCAAGTTGTTAATTTCTTGTACACTTAATGTCAGTGTGCCTGTCCTATAAAAATTCTTTGGAAAGATAGTCTCTGCTGTGAGTTGCACATTAAAAGTAGTTGCAGATTTCAGGGGGCTGCCAAACTGTTGGAAGTTTCCCTTCCTCTGCTATATGACTTTTATGCATAGAGGGACAGGGGAACTGGACATTGTTCTTGTATTCAGCACTACTGATCTTACTAGTTTATCCTTCCTGCCTTTTGCCTCTTTGGGTTTTACCTCCTACAACTAATTTCCACTGTAAGGACTATTTCTGCAGGAAGAGATTAGCTACCCAATCCACCACACCCCCATAATAAAGCGGATGCAGGATAGACCTCTTACACTACCCATTTCCCAGAACTACCAATTATGCTGGTTTTCTTTCTTCTGCACCTGAAACACAACAGTGCTTGCTGATAGGTGGAGCTGCAGTAGCTGAAGTCTGAAAGGTAACTACAGGTGAAGCAAAAGCAGAGGAAGTGTTTACTATCTTGTTGACATGTCTCAACACCTTAACCAAGACCTTTTTACTGATACAGGGCTGATTTACATTCCCTTTCCTCCAAAAGGACACACCAAAGTATGGTTAAGAAGAGAACTTTATATCTTGGTTAAAATCTTTTCCTTCTCCACTTCAGCTAGAGCTAGCAGTAAGAAAAGCAATTCTGTTAGGACCATGTGAACCCCTAACTTGGTAGTAGATAAAAGCCACCTGGATTTGGGTTACACAATGGTAATTTCGTATAGATCGTTTCCCTGTGGAGGAACTCTTGCACTGAAATAACTGCAACCCATTGCAGGATGATATATCACAAGGTTCAGATGAAATTCTGTGAACCTTTCCCACATGTGTCCAATCTATATATATATTAAAATTGCAGGCAATTAGGAATGGCATTGCTTAATTAACTTACCCAGAACAGGTTTACCATTGTTCTAGTGTATAGCTATTCCACGTTACCAACACCAACAAGCTTATTCTGCTGTAAACTGGCAGGAAAAGAGAATGACCATGGTATGTCCTGCTGGAGAGAGAGATTGCAAAGTGTTCCAGGCTGCCAAGGCTCTTACCTGAGCTACATCTCTTCTGCTCTGATGTTTTCAAGGTGCATGCTTTGAAGGAAATGCTTAAAATCTCTGTAGCCAACCAAGAACTGAAAGGATAGCTTGGTTTCTGCTGCAAGAAGACAAGGCAGACTTGTATCCCAGCTGCAATACGTAAAATTTCACAGATAAAATGAGACATTCCATCTCCTTATTTATGCTTACCTGAAAGCTGACCTAGCGATCTTTCCAGGTTTTGCAGAGTCCAATAGCCTGCATTTCACACTTCAGCTCAGTTATTAACGGCTTCCAGTTACAAGATTAAAAAAAGATAATTGTACAGCACTGTAAATTTGGCATTAATTATTTGAAGAAGGTGTCCAAGAGCATCACTTTTAAGCCAAGAAGTTGTCTCCCTTAGGAATGCTTCACATTGCCGTTTAGCACCTTGCGTGGGAGATGTAGTAAAACATCGGTGCTTGTGTTATTGTGCAGTTCTGCTGTGTGTGCGTGATTGGTTTCTTTGCTTCAGGCTCCTTTGAGCAGGGAGTGATTCATCTCTAGGAGGCTAATTTCTTACAGTTGAGTGCAGGATTTTAATAAATAAACCCAAAAGTGAAGTGCCCTTTTGAACAGCCCTCGTATCAGCAGGTAATATCAGTAATTTAGGAAACTCAAACCATTCCCCATTCCATCCAATGTATTGTGATCAGTGCTGGATTATTTATTTATTTTAAAATCCATCATAAGTTAGCTCTTTTGTTTTAATTAAGACCTTACAACACCACTGAGAAATTCTAACCGCAGAATGACAAAGATACATTATTTGAAGGGGAGGTAGTCAAAATACTGAATAAAAAATGTATTTTTGATTGGTTAGTTTACAAATCATTTGCACCAGTGAGAACAAACAAAACATTTTCTACAGTAACAGATGCTGAACCATCCTCTCCTGAATGAGGGCATGGAGAGGGGGGCTTTGAAGAGGAAAAAACATCTCCAGAAAGATTCCCTTACAGATACCTTTTCCCTTCCCCCATAAAAGCATTTCCCTTAGCCCTTCCTGTTGAAGACTTGCTGAGTACTTCAGGCTTCTGTAGCCATAGGAATCTCTCTACCCTGATTTCAGATGTGCTATAACATGAACCTGTATAATCCTCTCACATGGCAGAAAGTGGATTAAAACTATCTGCAGCCCTGTGGGTTGCTGAGGGTCCAGGCAACCCGTCCAAAAGCGTTGGGCTACACATTGCCTTTGCTGCCAGCATTGCCCTAGCCCAGATAACAGGCTCCTATGGCTAGGAATAGGATTTGCTGTCCTATCAGATAATCTATCCCACCCAAGAGCAGTAAGACCTAACTCAGGTGGTCTCCAGGAGATGAGTTTTCTTGTCATTGCTTCCTAGGATATATGGATTTGATTTCTTCTGACTTCAAGCGCTACCTGATGGGGGAGAGGTGGGAGTATGTATTGTAGAAAGTCTAATGATTGAGAAATAAGAAAAAAGAGAAAGCACATTTAAACAACTGCCTCTGTAGATCTTGTAATGAAACTGCCTTGTCATGGACAAAACACTTAGAAGTAACAATGAAAAGAATAAGCATTGTTTGAAGCTATTATTTAGAAATCATCTAAGTTTTTAAAGGTTAATGAGTGTAATTTACCCATTTTGGTTATTAAAAAGGGTTATACATGAACAATAAATGTAAGAGTTCAATCCTTTTTATTTCCATAGTTGATTCATCCACATCTGTTTAGCTTTTTATGACCATCTAATTGATTTGTAGAATTCTGTCCAGTACAGATGGGCTACTGTTCATGACTACTTTCATACCATTTATATTATTGTTGCTCTGATTTTTATTCAAGGCCAAACAGAGGGGAATATAAGAGTGTGATGTTCACCTAAACATGACAATGACATTAAATTTCTATTTGGCTCTGAGACAAGAATAGATTTGTGGAGACAATCCACTATGAATACAAATAAGTTGTTTATACATAAATATAATAAATTTTCTTACTTAATTATGACCTATTTTACCGGTTCTACAACATGCTCTGTTATTATGAAGTTTGTAGCAACAGCCAGGATAAATCAATTGTCACAAACTCATTTGGCTCAAAACTAGAATTATACCCCTACTAACACTTGCGAGAGAATAAAAGCTACGCCTCTGTAGCCTGTTCTAGGATAATTCTAGTAAGTTTATACATAGTCACTCATACAGCTGTACATGCATATGCTACATTATTTTATCCACAGTTTATACATACAGAATTTTGCATTTGATGGAGACTCTTCCACTTCCCTTTGAGTTGTCAAAATGAACAGAAGCTGGCTAGGTGTTTTCCACCAGAGTATCCTCTCTTGCTGTGAAAACACATAGCATGAGCAAGCCTTCACCAAGCGCTGGCCTGTAAACCTAGGTCTTGCTCTGTTTCGTTTCTGAGTCTTCT